CTACAGTTTTAAATAGGCAGTCACCTACCCTGCATGCACTGTAAAACTGGAGAAAAGTCTGCAGGTGTAGGATGCAATGTAAAATATGAAAATGCTCCAGAGAAGGCTATTAGAGATTAACTTTGATTAAATATAGCAACACTCAATGAATACTAATGAGTGGGTTTTTTAAAAAATGTAGATAGGAAGATTTTGCCTATCATTATTTGGGGAATACGGAAGAGCAAAGTTGCCAGTTTCCATTCCAGGAATGTTTTACCTAATTTTCAATGTACCTATTGAAAAACATTCTACTAAGCTTTCCTCTTTTTTTCCCTGGATGATTTATATGTTGAGATCTCGAATATTTGACAAACTGGTAAAATGGCCCTCAGCTCCCAAAATGGCCTTCACTCCCCATCTACTTCCGATTGAGATCATTCCTTGCATTTGATTGACTGTCATGAATATTTTCCCTTCTTGCTGATGTAACTGTTCTTTCTTAAGAGCATATTGCAAGAAACAAGGTTCTTGGTTAGGGGAGCAGATCAATGCAAAATAGAACAAATATACTGCTTAACAAATGGACCTAAGAGCACTGTACATCTCATCACGTTTTCTTCTATATTAAATTATAATAATGGTAATGAAAATAATAATAATACTTACTACTACTACTACTATTATTATTGTGCACATCATTTGAAAATACATCAAACAGCCCTAGATGCTTGGGAAGTGTTTGATCTGTATTTTTGTGTCAACAGCATAATAATAATAATAATTATTATAATTATTATTATTATTATTATTATTATTATTATAATATTTCTTACCCGCCTCTCCTCATGGTTTGAGGTGGGTTACAACATCACTAAAAACACACAATCGTTAAAATACACATATTAAAAGATATTTCTAAAAATACATATTAAAATACACAGGAAAAAAAGATTAAACATAAAGAGACAACTTAAAAATTCATAATGAAAACTGGCTGGGTAGGCCAGCTGGAAGAGATAGGTCTTGAGGTAGGTTTAAAATTCTGACAACTCATTTAGCTGTCAGAGCTCTTCCGGCAGGTTGTTCCACAGTTTTAGGGCGGCCGCTGAACTGGACCCAAACCATGTAGAACTTTAAAGGCCGAAACCAACACTTTGAACTTTGCCCAGAAACTAATTGGTAGCTAATGGAGTGACTTTAGGATCTGTGTAATATACTCATTCAAGGATGTTCCTCTAACCAATCTGGCTGCTGCATTTTGAACCAATTGGAGTTTCCGAACTTGATACAAAGGTAGCCCAATGTAAAGCTCATTGCAGAAGTCCAACTTTGAGGTAACCAGTACGTGCACTACCATCTTTAGGTCCTCCAAATTTAGGAAGGGCATATCAGTCTAAGCAGTCCTGACCATCAAATCTATTAGGGTTGACATTCATAGAGATGGATCCAAGAACACTCCCAAGCTGCAAACACATTCTTTCAGGGGGACTGTAACCCCATCCAGAACTGGTTGGCACACCTCCATTCCCAGATTAGGACCCTTGATGGCAAGCACCTCTATTTTGTCAGGGTCCAAATTCAGTTTGTTTTACCTCCTCCAGGCATTTATTCAAAGGAGACATACTATCTGAGGCTGTTTTTGAAGGCATGGAGAAATATATTTGGGAGTCATCAACATACTAATAACACCCTGTGTAATAAGAAATTCAATGTGCAGATTTGACAAATATGAATTTAATATGATGTGTGGGAATGACTGGATGAATGGAAGATGAATGGATGGATTGAGTTAATAATTTTGGAAACACCAGTATAATTTTAAGGCCTGCAATGACTAACTATCTGCTTGCTGGGCTTGCTAATGAGAAACCCTGATAAGAACTGGGACAGTGATAACAGAAATGTTTGCAACATTACTTATGTTAAGAAGGAAGTCAACACAAGCCTTGTGTTTGCTAACACCAATCAAGAAGATCAACACTGAGATGGATCCAGGATGGAAGACATCTATCATTAATTTACAACTTTGGGACTACATCAACAGAATATTACTATAAAAGACTCAATCTAATAATACTCAAAGTGTGGCAGTCCTGAGGAGTCTGTTCACCCGCCGTGCTCTACTCCATGGGAAGGAGAGAGATGGTGTATTTGGAGAGTGGCAGATCTGGACGGGAGCAGTCTGGTCACTTTGGGGCTTCTTTCTCAAGGGAAGAGGAAGAAGTGCGCTTTTGGAGTCTTAGATTTTGTGCAGGGAGTCAGGTTCTGCTGTATGGAAAACAGAGATCTGGTTCTTGGCATCGTTCTTAGGGAAGACGTTTTGGCATTTCAGCATTTTGAAGTTACGGTGTTATGGAAGTTATGGAACTATAAGTTGGCAGGCTGCAGGAAAGCAGGGTCTGGCCTAACAGGTGCTTCTCCAAGGAGGGAGAAAAGGATATGGTAATATTTTGGATGCATGTGGATGAATGCATGTACATGTGTGTGAATGTTGAGTGAAAAATGTAATTCCCCTTTGTTTGTTTGTTAACCAATGTAATTGTAAATCCAATGTAGTTGCATAGAATCTATATATCTGTATGTCCAATGTCATTCTTTGTCTAAATGTTTTCTGTAATCTGATATACCTTCTCACCCTGGAAATTGCAATAAAAAGAACCTATGCTTTAAAATCATTGAAAAGTCATTCATGACACCTGCCCCTACGGATGATCTCTCTGAGCGGTTTCATGTAAATATTAAAAAGCATTGGGGATAGAATGGCACCTTGTGGGATGCCACATAAAAGCTTGGATATATACTTTTGAATAATCTTTGCTGGAGTATTATAACATTGCTTTTAGCTTTGTGATTGTTGACTGCACCTTACATTGCATCATATTGTGTTTCTCTCACCATTTTCACAAGTTTTATTGATTAGGATGGTTTGCAGAGCTGGAAATTAAGATGGAAAGACTTTGCAAAATCAATTGTACTTGCCTCCTTCAGGGTTCTACCAAAAAGTCAGTCTAATCCAAGCTTGAGGCTTCAAAAACGTTTCTGGCAAGTGGAGCCATGGAGGGACCATCGTGTATGTAGCACTTCTTCAAGTAGCCTAGTTCCACTTGCTTAATTACTAGTAATTAGCTGCTCTGAAGTAATTGCTTTTCCTCAGTGGGGAATGGAAAGAAGGGATGAACAGTTACCTGATTACCAGGGACTGCTTTATACTGCAAAACTACTTCTATGATCATGCTTTTGAAATCCCAGCAGAAGTAAGCCAAGCTGGATGTACATTGCCATGAATCCAGATTATCTGCTTTGAACTGGATTATATGAGTCTACACAGCCATATAATCCAGTTCAAAGGAGATAATCTGGATTCAGAAAGTGGATTATATGGCAGTCTAGATGGGGCCTCAGTGCTTTTACACCCTCTCCTGGAGCTTTCTTTGGGCCCTTACAGACAGGCCCAATTTCCCAGGTTTTCTGTTTATCCCAGATTATCTGGCGGTGCAGACTCATATAATCCAGTTTAAAGCCGAAATCCTGGGTTCAGATCCTGGGATCTAAGGCCTGTCTGGAAAGGCTCTTAAAATCTTTTCAATTAGGACAATTGTGGGGACAACTGTGATGCTTAATTAAAACAATGGTATCTAACTCTTAATATGGCTTGATATTGAGAAATGGCCTATGTTGGCACATCTTTGTTCAGTGGTTGACACTTGGGGCTCTTTCACTACAATTCTGTTTTGTATAATCCCAATTATAGCACTACAATTCCATTTTTATGTCCATATCTGCATCCTGTGAAATCTTGGACTTGTAGTTTGACCAGAAGAACCAAAGGAGGTCTTTGAGAAGTCTAAAGCCTCTTGCCCTAAGCTATAAACCCAGGATTCCATAGGCCGTTGCCATCACAGGTTAAGTGTAATCAACCATAGCATGTGTAGTGTAAAAGGGTCCTTGTCCTCAGGAAGTGCATTTTTCTGGTTGTTATGATGTCTTCAGCATTTTAGTGTGCTGAAACCAAGTTTCAAAAGATGCAGACTAAAATTATATGCTGTCAACAAAGACTCAACATTTAACTAGTATTTTGCCAATAATAATTTTCATTGGTAACTTGATAATAATGGTTTTTTAAATTAAAAAGTGCCCATCATGTTGAAGGTGATAATTCCCAGTGAATTGCAGGCCCTTTGAAAAAAATAAATAGAAGGGTGTGTGGAATTTTACCAGGTATTATGGATCTCATCTCTTTGCCTTTACCTCATCTTCATCCTTGAGCCCCCACTGGGATTCTCATTCTGAATATTATGATGTGTTGTTTGATAGCACAGTGGACTAAATAAAGAGGTGATTTTGGTAAGAAACCCTGTGATCTTATTGTAATGTCCATAGAATTAGTATACACCCATTTGATTGAAGACTAGTTAAGCCATATACTTACGTTGCTCCAGTGAGTGCTTTAAACATACATTTTCTCATGAATAGATCTACATGGGAATGTCTATACCACAACACAGACCACCTTCGGTGATGTTGTCCGTAGAGAAAATGTCTTGTATGCCAGAGCAAATTATCCACCTTGATCAAAATAACTGCTATTTTCTCTTTTTAATTTTATTGTACTACTTGGATGCCTTATCTGGAAATCCAAAATACTCTAAAATCCCAAATTGTCCACATGGGTGACCAAGACAGTGACACCTTTGCTTTATCATAGTTGAATGTACACAAACTTTGTTTCATGCACAAAATTATTTAAAATATAGTATAAAATTACCTTCAAGCTCTGTGTATAAGGTGTTTTTACAGCATAAATGAATTTCATGTTTAGATGGGTGTCCCATTTCCAAGATATCTCATTATGTCTGTATATACAAATGTAGGTATTCCAAACTCCATACAAATCTGAAACCCAAAACACTTCTGCTCCCAAGTATTTTGTATAAGGGATACACAATCTGTATACAGATGTGAAATCTAGCTACTTGGTCTGCTCATCTATTCTTTTGTTTGTCTTTATGTGGTTTTAGGTGCATACATCTTCTGGATACAAGAAGAACGTACTCCCAAGAAATCCGCATGTTTGAGGCTGCCCCTCTGCAATGGAATCTTGGCCCACATTGGCCTGGGTCCTGCTCCTTAGTTTGGTATCAGACTGCCTGAAGGGAATCCAAGCCAGAGACTTCACAGTGAAAGATATTGTCTACCTTCATCCTTCAAGTAAGGGGGTGCTTTGAATGCAATTTTCCTTCTTCCAACTCCAGTTGGACTGGATGGCCCACGAGGTCTCTTCCAACTCTGATTCTATTATTCATCTTTGGAGAATGAGGCACCCATCTCTGCAAAGCCTGTGCAATGAGGGAAACAAGCTAACATTCAAGGAGCAGAAATGATGTATTGGTTGTGCTGCCTAGCTTCTGTAGGAAATAGTTCCTTTCTCAAATGGGAAGATAGTGTGAAGTAGGGAGATTTTATACATGTTAGATCACTGAAGACTGGTGCTCTCCTCAAGTGAGGATGCTCAAAACTGTGCCATGGATCAGCTCTCATAAGTCCAAACAATACAATTGTGTACTCACTTTTATAAGGCTTAAGTGTGCAAAAAATTGAAAAAAACACAAATATTTCCTGTGATGGCAGGGGTAAGACAACACTGTTGCAATCCCTAGTGCCACATGCCACTTCACTTTCCTAGTGGATCTTGGATCCTTTTCCTCTTTTGATGTGGCACAAGTCTCTCCTTTTCTGATGGTATGAGTCTCTCTTTCATCTTGGCAAAGGGAGGAAGATACTAAGGGGACCTGTAACATGTGGAAAGCTAGAAGAGAACTAGCCCCAATGGATCTACTTCCTCCTCCTGCGTGTTGTGTGTTCCTGTTCCCCCAGTGTCTTCCTTTGCCTGCATAGAGCAGAGATTTGTGGAAGGCAGGAAGAGGAGTCAGATCTGCTGGTTAAGTGAAGTGATGTCTCCTCCTCTTACCTGCTTGCTGTGAGTCTCTGTTTCACCCAAGAAAGAAAGGGAAATACCAAATGGAGCAGATACATTAATGAGGAACTGGCTCTGCTGACTTACCTGACAGATCTAGTTTCTCCTCATCTTCCTATGTGCCACATATTTCCACTGGATCTGATTCCTCTGCAATACCAAAAAGGAACAGGGATTCATGGCACTCGTGCCTCCTGAACCAACCTCCTCGCTCACCTCCTGAGGATAGGGCTGCCAGGTGAATGGAAGCTCCAACGTCAGCAAGGAGCAGGTTTCAAACTCATGTCAGTCTGACACCTGCGAAAGTGGAGGGCCAATTTGTAGTCAGTTTCTATGTAGACCAGGCCTGCCAATGAGCAGTCAGGCTTTCTGGTGTAAATTTATTTATTCATTCATTTATCATATTTGTATCCTGCCTTTCTCACCCCGGAGGGGACTCAGGGCGGCCTTACAATAGGCAGCAATTTGATACCATACACACATATATTAAATAAACAATTACAATAAAAACCAAGCAATTTAAACATGAGTAATTTAAAACAACAATTAAAATAACACCAACTAAAACGTAAGTAAAGTAATGTAAAGTAACTTTGTTGTGAATGCTACTACTCTGCAACCTTTTGGCATCTCTAGAAACCAAAATCTGGTGTTTATCATCTGTAGTTTACAAAGGAAAAAAGGCCCCAACCACTTTATGGAAGCCCTTTGGTTTTCTACACAAACTGGAGATGAAAGGAATCTAATACAGATTTAGACTAGAACAGGGACAAAACCCCATTCCACCCAAATTCGATCTCCTACACTTACATTTCAGTGAGCAGTAGCCATGCCACACGCTACATTTTAAACATACGTCCTTTGACACTTTCAGAACAAGCCAAATGTTCTGAAATAATTCAAAATAATATGTAATATGAGAGGAATAGAAAAAAAAACAGATTGCTATGCAAATGTACTGTAACTACTTCCTGTGATACTAGTGGCCACTCATGGTTAATCTTGGCTCATTGCTGGTAGTCATTCATATCATTTCTTTTCTTCTAATATTTACACTCCTTTCTGTTTCAACCGTTTATCTTTAACTCCTCAATGTTGCGCCGTACATGTAAAATTGAGGCCAGCTTCTATCTTTGTGCTGGTTTTAAAATGCTCTAAAAAGTGCTCAGAATTAAAAGCAACTTCCTTTGCTCTTGTGTTACCTCCCCCTTTTTATCTGCAGTGCTAATTTTTATTTTTATTCTTTGATAAATCTCCTTGTTTTCTTACAATGATTGGGCACAGTTGTTGACCAAGAGAAGTTAATGACTGGATATAGTTACAGGCAATTTTGGGACACTGGGCAGTCTCTTTTGATTTCCTTTAGAATGGTTCTCTTAAGGGACGGTGTGGCCTTGTGCCCCAGACCGCAGTCTATTAGGCTTAGTAACTTCTCTGATCATGAGCCAAAACTAGAATCCCACACAGCTGTGACTGCTGTTCTTTGAAACTTCCTTTCAGTACCAGGATTATTTTTTTTACTGTACCAAGCACCTCCACAGCTTTCCAATCCCCATTTCCCTCCCTCCCCGCCTGCCTCTCTCTTTGCTCCCATCTCCTCTATCGATAGGAGGCAGAGCACCATGGAGTTCTCCCAGTGGGAGATCATTTCCTCCTTCTGCTCAGACTGCACCTGCGTTAGATGTGGGTTCTCTAATACACATATACTGTAATTTGAATTTCTTGGAAGAGCTGAAAACTGTGGGAGCTATACCACCAATTTGGAATTGGGCTATTTGCTGTTGCTGCTGCTGCTGCTGTTGTTTTTAACAAAAATGCTTTCAATTTGACTTTGTTTTTCAAATTGTCTTTGTTTTGCTATTTAGCAAATTAAATCAAATCATTTATTTCAGTCATAGATCAGCACAGGAAATAAAAGTCACATTTCCATAGAATAATAGTATATGTGCGAACATATAGGTATCCAACGTTACCATTATAGGCATATAAATATAAGTTGCATATTCCTTGTCTGTAATGCTCTGGGCCAGAAATGTTTTGGATTTGGGATTTATTTATTTTTTTGATTTTGCGATACCTTCATTTGCATACAGAGGTTGGCTTATCCAACCTTTGCGCATCCAGTGTTCTGTATTATCCAACGCGGTCTGCTTTCTGCACAGATTCATTGCTGTTTCAATACATAGCGATGTTTTGGTGCTAAATTTGTAAATACAGTAATTACTACATAACAATACCATGTATTGAATTGCATTTTCTGTCGGTTTGTTGTAAGACATGATGTTTTAGTGCTTAATTTGTAAAATCATAACATAATTTAATGTTTAATAGGCTTTCCCTTAATCCTTCCTTAATATCCAACATTTTAGCTTATCCAAAGTTCGTTTATGTTGGATAAGCGAGACTCTATTGTACTTATATAATGAGATATGGAACCCCTGGTTGTGCCGTGGTTTAAACTGGTGAGCTGCTGAACTTGCTGACTGGAAGGTCAGTGGTTCGAATCTGAGGAGCGGGGTAAGCTGTTAGCCCCAGCTTCTGCCAACTTAGCAGTTCAAAAACATGCAAATATGAGTAGGAAGGTAGTGATGCTCCATGCAGTCATGCCGGCTACATGACCTTGGAGGCATCTACGGACAACGGCAACTCTTCGGCTTAGAAATGGAGATGAGCACCACCCCCCAGAGTCGGACCTGACTAGACTTAATGTCAAGGGGAAACGTTTACCTTTTATATAATGAGATATCTTGAAGCTGGAACCCAAATCTAAAGAAGACATTCATTTATGTTTCATATAGATCTTACACACATTGCCTGAAGGTAACTTTATGCACAATGTTTTAAATAGTGTAGTGCATGAAACAAAGTTTGTATGCATCACACTATCCAACATTTTTTTCTGGCTCTTTCATATATTGGTTATCACAAACCTGGGTAAAACTCTTGGGATTCTAGTTGCAGTTCTGTGATTGTAAAACCCGATTAAAATGCCTGTTGCCCAGTGCTGCCAAGCTTTTGTGATTGAAAATCATAGGGCATCATCTTAAGCTATCCCTCTGGGCTAGTTTCGAACTCATTATATTAGAATGTTAGAACATTAGCATTCCATCAAAATATAATAAGGAGAACCAAATTATGAAGAGCTGATTTCATTTATTTATTTATTTATTTATTTATTTATTTTTATATTGTCGTTCTGCCTAAAATACAGTCAAGGTAGCTAATAGTGAAATATAAATTAAATTTTAAATTAAAGCTGGAATATTTTGTGTGATTTATAGGTATGTGAGGACTATAGTTATGGTGCTGAGAAGTGACTCTCAGCCTAAACCTATTCACGTCCCCCCAAAAACCTTCTTATTAAAAACATATACCTTGGCATCATATTTAAGGGTACTGAGAAAGGTGGGAGTTTTTTCCACTGCTGGAATAGGGTGTAAAGTGTTTTTAAAAATCTTTCTTTAGGAACAAACTAATTTGTTCTCAGAACACAGGAATAAGCTATACAAGTGTTCCATGGCCCAAGGCTCCCTTTGTAAGCTACCAACGATAGTATGATATATGACATTGATTTAGGCTACTTGCCTAAAATCTCTACAAGAGTTTTCCATTTTTCCCCTGCAGCAAAATGAAAGAAATTATTTTTCAGGTGGCTTTTAGAGAATATAGAAGAAAAGTTCTGGCAATTCAAGTATTTCTGGAAAGAAGACAGTCTTACAATGGCCGTTATCCAAAACAGCACTTCTGGAAAGGAGAGATCAACTTTAGTGCTGATCATCAAGACGATTGTGCAATTTTAGGTTGAGAAATCAATTTTAAATGTTGACATAATTCTTTTTGTGAAATTGAATATTGCATAAGGTAAAGGTTTCCCCCTGACATTAAGTCCAGTCGTGTCTGACTCTGGGGGGTTGGTGCTCATCTCCATTTCTAAAGTGAAGAGCCAATGTTGTCTGTAGACACCTCCAAGGTCATGGGGCCAGCATGACTGCATGGAGCACCGTTATCTTCCTGCAGAAGCAGTACCTATTAATCTACTTACATTTGCATGTTTTCAGACTGTAGGTTGGCAGAAGCTGGGGTTAACAGCAGGAACTCACCCCCTGTCCCCAGATTCGAACCTGTGACATTTTGGTCAGCAAGTACAGCATCTCAGTCGTTTAAGCCACTGTTCCACCGAGCCCCCCCTTTTTGTGAAATTGAACATGGCATATTTCCACAGGAAGTTATTTATTTATTTATTTCATACATTTGTATCCCGTCCTTCTCATCCCCCGGGAGGGGGGGGGGATTCAGGGCAGCCTCACAATCAGCAACCATTAGATGTCCAAACAAGACAATTATAACAACAATTTACATTTAAAACAATCATTGAAATATCACATATATAAACATTAAATTAAAATTAGGCAAGTTCAAGTCATAATCCAGGTCAGTCTGTTGTCAGTCCAATAAATCATTCTCATTGTTAATGCTGCGCCTGCTGCTTGAATGCTTGGTCTCACAACCAAGTTTTAATTTTTTTCCCCTAAAGGATAGGCGGGAGGGAGCTGGTCTGATTTCATTAGGGAGGGCTTTCCATAGCTGGGGGACCACCACCGAAAAGGCCCTGTCTCTCGTCCCCACCAGTCGCCCTTGCGAGGATGATGAGATTGAGAGCAGGGCCTCTCCCAATGATCTTAATCTCCGAGGTGGGTCGTAAAGGGAGATACATTCGGACAAGTAAGGAATCCCTCCCCCAAATCCTCATTTCTTTGTTGACAACTACAAATGTTACACTCTGAAATTTTATAATTCCTCCTGTTTTCTATTATTTATTTGATTCTGTTAAGAAATGTAGTACTTTGCAGGAGTAGCACAGTTAGTGAAATTGATGCAGAAAATTCACATAAAGAGAACTCCTTAACCTTAGAAAGGCTTCAGCAACTCAGTTAACAGTGTTTTAATATTACCAGCTTGGTCACACTTTGACTCAGAGAATTCTGGGATGGGAACTGGTGGCTATAATGATAATTTGCTAGATATATCTTCTCTATAGAGACGTGCATCCAAGTATGCAAGTGTGCACAGAAGCACAAATTACTGGTCCCAGTAGTCCAAGTAGCAGAAAGCAAATTGCTAAATGGACCAAGTTTAAGGCTGTAATATTGAATATACTTGCATACTTATCTGAGAGTAAGTAGAGCAGACATGCCTTTTGAGTAGACGTGCATAGAAGTGACAATTTGCAGAGTTGTGTTGCACGTTTACAGCAACACAAAATCAATGTTTTAGATTGATTTAAACCTAATGTTTTTATTCATTGTGTAATTGTGTTGCTATTGTTTTTGTATGTTGCAGAATCAAATTGTTGCCAGTTATAAGCCGCCCAGAGTCCCCCCTTGGGGGTTGAGAAGAATGGGGTATAAATGTTTGAAATAAATAAAATAAATACAGTGTAGAGACCACATGAGAGTGATCCCCCCCCTCCTCTTACATTCCACCAAGTACTAGCACTTGTCTGAATGCTTTGTCCAGCAATGATGCACCTTTCCCCCCAGCTAGATGGAAGCATTTTTCTGGTGTGTGTTGTTTTGTTTTTGAAGCAGTACTATATCTTTGCCTTTGGTCATTGTACTTTAAGAAGGCTGTGGAACAGGTGTAGGTAATTGTAGTGAGTTGAGCCTGTGCCAGCAGACAGATTGGTTTTAGAGTCTTTGTTGGCACCTGCCCCATCTGACTCATGGATTTCTGAACTTCTTCAGAGCTTTGAGAGCTGCTCCTTAAAACTGGAAGGCAGTCAGAGGGAGAACTGAGTAGATTGGAAAATAAGTCTTTTGAGGAAAGAGCTGTGAGGAGGGAACTGGATGAGTTTATTATGGGGAACAATTAGAAATCTGGGGGCTTATCTACATAGGCTAATACTCTGAATCAGGACAAAAGTCACTCCTGGATGTCCATGTGACATTCAGGGACTTATGGTGCCTAACATGGAGTAAAACTGGCTAATCTGATTTTGCACTACATTAGCAGAAGTTGGAGAATAATCTGAAATTTACCTGAAACTCTGGAAAAGTCCACACTTCAGGGTAGGTGCGTGCAGCTGGGCCAGTTCCAATTTGAACAGATCCAACTCTTCACATGGACTAGTGCAAGCCTCTGTGTAGGTAAAAGGGGATTTCACCACACTCTGTGCAGGGCAGTGGTTCTCAACCTGTGGGTCCCTTGGTGTTTTGCCCTACAACTCCCAGAAATCCCAGTCAGTTTACCAGCTGTTAGGATTTCTGGGAGTTGAAGGCCAAAACATTTGGGGACCCACAGGTTGAGAACCACTGGTGTAGGGAAAAGGGGGAAGCAATTACCTTTTACATTGTGTGTTGTTACAGCATTGACTACTGAGCTCTGGTGAACGGCTTGCACAACCTGGTGAAAAGAAGGGGGACTCCTCCCTTCTTCAACTTGAGATTGGCAAAGGTGCCTTGGGATGGCCAGGAGGTCTCCAGAGCTACCGTTGGAACAATCTATCCAGTGGGACCAAACTAAGATTGGCCCAACTGGATGGTTAGGACTCCAGTCCTGTTGCTGCTGTGGTTCAAGGGAGAGAGATGAAACCATCTCCACAGAATCTGGTTCAAACCGGTCCCGTTTAGAGACCCTGGCAGAGTGGTGCAGGAAGGGAAATTTGAGATACTTCCCATATACTTGCTGAGCTTTAGAAGAGGACCTATACTTTTTATTTGCTGTCCTACAGGGCGGACCTAGATGCCAGGGCAGGTAGGTTTGTGTGGACCATGATTTAAAACTTCTTAATGCAGTAGTTCTCAACCTTTCTGATGCCGCGCCCCCTTACTACAGTTCTATATGTTGTGCTGACCCCCAACCATGAAATTATTTTCATTGCTACTTCACAACTGCAATTTTGCTACTGTTAGGAATCATAATGTAAATAACTGATATGTAAGATGTATTTTAATTCAGTGGACTAAATTTGGCACAAATACCCGATACACCCACATTTGAATACTGGTGGGGTGCGATGGGGGGATTGATTTTTTCATTTGGGAGTTGTAGTTGCTGGGATTTATAGTCCACCTACAATCAAAGAGCATTCTATACTTCACCAATGACGTAACTGAAACAATTTTAGCACATAGAACTCCCATGACCAACAGAAAATACTAGAAGAGTTTGATGGGCACTGACCTTGAATTTTAGAGTTGTAGTTCACCTACATCCAGAGAACACTGTAGACTCAAACAATGATGGAGCTGGACGAAACTTGGCATGAATATTCAGTATGCCCAAATGTAAGCACTGGTAGAGTTTGGGGGAAATAGACCTTGGCATTTGGGCGTTGTAGTTGCTGGGGTTTATAGTTCACCTACAATCAAAGAGCATTCTGAACAACAATAGAATTGGGCCAAACTTCCCACACAGAACCCCCATGACCAACAGAAAATACTAGAAGAGTTTGGTGGGCACTGACCTTGAGTTTTGGAGTTGTAGTTCACCTACATCCAGAGAGCACTGTGGACTCAAACAATGATGGAGCTGGACCAAACTTGGCATGAATGCTCAATATGCCCAAATGTAAACACTGGTGGAGTTTGGGGAAAATAGACCTTGACATTTGGCCGTTGTAGTTGCTGGGATTTATAGTTCACCTACCAACAATAGAATTGGGCTAAACTTCCCACACAGAACCCCTATGACCAACAGAAAATACTGTGTTTTCTGATGGTCTTTGGCGACCCCTCTGACACTCCCTTGAGACCCCTCCAGGGGTCCCGACCCCCAGGTTGAGAAATGCTGTCTTAATGGTAAGAGTGGTTTGACAGTGGAATCGGTTGGACCTTTCCTTACAGGAGGTTATGAGTTGAAGACTGTTACCCTGAGTTAACTGCATGAAGTGAGGGGTTGCATTATATAGCTTAGTATCCTTTTTATTGTGCCTGCTAACATTTAAATTTTTCCAGTCTGGGTGAGTTCTGGTTTGAAAAAAGTTGAAGACTCCTGCTGTAGAATATATGGAGCTAGAGATGATTGGTGATCACACAGGCAGTACATGAGGGCACACTTAAATTAGCTATAAATCATCAGCTCTCTCCTTTGTCATTTTTTTTTACTCTTCCTACCTTTCCCCACTTGTTTAAAGAGAGAGCAAATAATGGCTGATATGATATTCCCTAGATGCCTTCTACTTCAGATTATTTGGGATGGAAGGCAGAAAAGGCAGGCTATTTTTTAATTGAACTAACCCAAGTTCCTAGCCCTCATGCTTTCAGTGTGTAAATCAGGAGCCCTCAAACCTTTAAAGACATGGTACCTCAGACTGTTGCAGGGCCGGAGTATAGTTTGGAAAAAAATGAATGAATTCCTATGTACACTGCACATATCTAGGTGCAAAAAAAAACCCATGAAAGAACAAAACTATATTAAAAATAAAGAACAGTTTTAACCAATATTCCCAGTATTTCAATGGGAAGTGTGGGCCTGCTTTTGGCTGATAAGATAGTCAAATCAGTTAGGATTGTTGTTGTTGTTGTTGTTGTTGTATGCCTTCAAGTCATTTCAGACTTAACACGATCCTGTCTAAAGTTTAGGGCGGAGGCTGGGTAAATGACCTTGGATGGCCACATCCGGCCCATGGGCCTCAGTTTGGGAACCCCTGGTGTAAATGGTGTGCACCCTTCTCTCTCCCTCCATGTGTGTCTCCTTGTTGTTGACTGCCCCTTTGTCCTTTTCTTCATTGCTTGCTGCTCAATACTGGCAGTACAAGACAGCCAACTGTTGGAATGTTTCCTTTCCTCTTATTAGAATAAATCAAAGCACACATAATCGTTATCTAGTAATAGGGAATTATCTGTTCTTATTCCACTTATAGTAGTGAATTACAGCTATTGACATTACAGAAAAAGATAACTCCACTGTAGCAAATTAATGCAAAAAATTAACTTGTTACAAAAGAAGCTCATTTGAAAAATGAGTTACTTCCTAGCTCATTGTGTATGTATGGATTGATGGATGGATGAAAGTAGTTCACAATATGATTTCATTGTTATGTTTACATTTTTCAGCTACTCCATATCCGGGCGGTTTCAAATGTTTCACCTGTGAACAAGCAGTTGACAACTATGAATGCAATCAGTGGGCTCCAGATATCTATTGCCCAAGAGGTAAGGACATTTGCGTATTGCCAAAGAACATTCTATCCTATTTAAAGCAGCTCCATTGGTTGCTGATCTGTTTTCAGACCTAATTCATATAAAGCCCAAACGGTTCGGCTCCTGCCTATTTACATGACCACATCTCTTCTTATGAATCTGTTCAAGCTATAAGATTAGCAGCAAAGACCCTCCTCCCGATCCCACCTCACCACTAACCATAGAATCCAGGGCATGCCTTATTTCTCCTCTTTGCAGAATACGAAGAGAAGCAGAACATTGGGACCCATTTGGAAAGTATGGCGGAAATTCGAACCTATAGAAACTAGAAACCAGAAAGCAGTTAGGGTGGAAGTGAAGGAAATATATTTGTTTTCCTTTACCATCAGAGGAATTATAATGAATTATATGTCTGGCCCATCTTCTTTTAAACCAAATCAAACTGAGTGCTTTAAGCAACAAACCCTGGCTTTCTGAAGGAAGGTAAAGGTGGGGGCTGGAATGGTGTAAGAAGAAGAAGAAGGAGCAATAAAGAAGCAGGAGATGAGATTGCAGAGGAGCTGGAGAAATGAAATTGTTTTTAATAGGCCCCACCAAAAAAACAAAACAAAACAAAAAACCTGTAGTATCCCCAGGGCAGGTAGTACAGAATACTTGATGGGCTTTGCTGAGGAATGTTGATATAAATGGACTTCATTCTGTTTGGGCAAGAACAGTCATTTGTAGAAGCAACTGCGTTTGCCCAAAGCTGTGTTATAAGGGGTGTTCAATAAAATACAACAAAGTGAACAGTGGTCCTGACTTTTGAAAATGTTTCCCAACTTCAAAGAGACATGAATTAGGACATTAAAGCAGAACAACTAATTAAGGGCGCGTGACAGCTTACATTTTTTGAACTCGTGTTTCCATTACTTCCCTTAATTCATTTGCGCAACTCTATAAGCTACCTGCTTTTGATGATCTAGTTGAGAGACATCCACCATAGTTAGGCTTCTATTTAAGCTCTTTTGTTTTATCTACTTTGAAAGGTACCGGGAGTTTTTCTCTATTTACCAAACATAGGATTTGAAGCTGGAACTGACCAGGTGGAAAATGTAATCCATGTTATATCTTTGCCACAAAAGCTCCAAAATGTACTCAGAACCCTAGCTATTGGATAATGTTGGATTCATACAATGCTGCTTATTTAGCTATAAGAAAGTGTACTTTGCAATTAGTCATCTTTGCCAGAGTTGTGTTCATTTGTTTCATAGATGTGGGAAATTCTTGTGACTTGTTCTTTAAATATAATGTGAATGCTGTTCATAAACAAGGGACTTCATAACAGTAGGATTTCATAATCTAGGTGTCTCCCCTCCACAAAAGACATTTCTGGTGTGGGACGTGGTTTGAATTAACAAAATTATATGAAGTTTGCAAAGGAGAGTGATAAAAAAGAGACGTAGGGCCCTTCCACACAGCCCTGTATTCCAGAATATCAAGGCAGAAAATCCCACAATATCTGCTTTGAACTGGGTTATCTGAGTCCACACTCAGATAATGTGATGTTTTCTCCTTGCTATCCTGGGATATAGGGCCGTGTGGAAGGGCCCATAGAGAGGAAGGGAGAACTGCAAGAAGTAGATGTTCTCCTGAAAATCTCAAGATTCCTCTTTCATGCTCAAATATTAAGATAGAAATGAAGACTTAGGATGGACTGTTCAATTTGTGGTGTAGGGAACTTTCTTTTTCTATCTATGGATTGTGTAACTCTAGGCATAGTCCTCAGTTGCCCACATTGCATCTGCTATATGGGCAATTGGAGACTTGGTATAGACCAGTGGTTCTCAACCTGTGGGTCCCCAGATGTTTTGGCCTTCAACTCCCAGATATCCTAACAGCTGGTAAACTGGCTGGGATTTCTGGGAGTTGTAAGCCAAAGCACCTGGGTACCCACAGGTTGAGAACCACTGGTATTGACAGAGTTCCAGTGGGATTTAAGAAAAAGGAAGAGCTGCCGCAAAAGGCTTAGTAAAATAACTTTTTATAGTGGTGATCAGGCCCCTTCAGCCGAGGTTTTTCAGAGCTATTTTGCAGACAAGATCTCGCTACTTCGCCGGGACTTCCCCACCACAATTGAAACAGTGAGAGAACTTGAGACCCCGTGGCCACTTGCTGGGCCTATCCTCGACCGGTTCATCCCGCTGGATGCAGGGGCTGTCGATAGGCTCATAGCTGCAGCTAGACCGACCACTTGCTCCCTCGATCCGTGTCCCTCGTGGTTGGTGAAATCCTGCTTGGAGGGATTACGTGACCCTCTGTTGAAGATTATAAACAGCTCCCTTGAGCAAGGAGTTTTCCAGAGGGTTTAAAAGAGGCGGTGGTCTCTCCCCTGCTGAAGAAACCAGACTTAGATTGTTCAGTTCCTTCCAGTTACCGCCCAGTTTCGAATTTCTCGTTCCTGGGCAAGGTGATTGAGAGGGCAGCAGCGGAGCAGTTGCAGCAATTCCTAGACGACACAGCTGGACTAGATCCCTTCCAGTCCGGCTTCCGTGCGGGGCATGGGACAGAGACTGTGCTGGTCTCCATCACGGATCACCTTCGATGCCAGCTTGACCAGGGCGGGTCAGCGCTGCTTGTGTTATTGGATCTCACAGCAGCATTTGACACAGTCGACCACAATCTTTTGACCCACCGCCTTGCTGTTGCTGGAGTCAGGGGGACAGCTTTAAACTGGCTGTCCTCCTTTCTTCACAACCGTGGACAGCGAGTGGAGAGGGGAGGCCTGGTCTCTGAGAGGTCCCCTCTATCTTGTGGGGTTCCTCAGGGGGCCATTCTCTCCCCTCTGTTGTTTAACATCTATATGCGACCACTTGCTCAGCTGGTTCGAGGTTTTGGGCTTGAGTGTTATCAGTATGCCGATGACACTCAGCTGGTGCTGAAGATGGAAGGCCGACCGGACTCTGTACCCGATTGTTTCCATCAGTGCCTCGAGGCTGTTACTGGATGGCTGCGTGCCAGCAGGTTGAGGGTGAATCCAGCAAAGACGGAGATCCTATGGCTGGGTCAACCGGGCAGTGGGGACATCCAGCTGCCTACCCTGGATGGCGAGGCGCTACGCCTCATCATTGGTAAAGAGTCTGGGAGTCCTTTTGGACCCTCTGCTGATGATGGAGGCCCAGGTCTCTGCCGCTAGCAGAACCGCCTTTTTTCATCTGCGGCAGGCTAGACGGCTGGCCCCCTACCTGTCCAGGGACGACCTAGCTATGGTGATCCAGGCCACGGTCATCTCAAGACTGGACTACTGTAATGCCCTCTACATTGGCCTCCCTCTGTCGGTGATTTGGAAGCTCAAGTTGGTACAAAACGCAGCTGCTCGGCTTCTTGCGGGAATTCCGATGAGATGCCACATAACACCAATCTTACTACAGCTGCATTGGTTACCAATTGAGCACCGGATCACTTTCAAAGTGATGGTACTCACCTTTAAGGCCTTGCATGGTCTGGGGCCGATGTACCTGAGGGACCGCCTCACCCCCTACCAACCCCAGAGATCCCTCCATTCTGAGGACCAAGATCTATTGGAAATTCCCAGTGTCAAGACCTTGCATCTAACAGCAACCAGACGCAGAGCCTTCACAGCAGTGGCACCATCACTCTGGAATACTCTGCCACCTGAAGTCCGTGCCTTGCGGGACTTACCAGCTTTCCGCAGGGCATGTAAGACATACCTGTTTCGACAGGCTTTTTTATGTTTGATATTGTTGTTTTTAAATTGTTTTAAACTGCTTTTAAATTTTGTTAGATTTTAGCTATTCTTGTAAGCCGCTCCGAGCCCCAGGGGAGTGGCGGCATATAAGTTTAAATAATAAATAAATAAAAATAATAAATAAAAAAATAGTGTGCGTATAAGCAAGAGGGGGAGGGAGAAATTAAAGGATTTTGAGAAAAGAAACAAACATTTCATTCACACTGTATTAACATTCAGCTGGAGCCCCTGGTGGTGCAGTGGGTTAAATCCTTGTGCTGGCAGGACTGCTGACCAAAAGGTTAGTGGTTCAAATTTGGGGAGCAGGATGAGCTCCCATCTGTCAGTTCCAGCCTCCCGTGCGGGGACATGAGGGAAGCCTCCCACAGGATGGTAAAATATCCAGGTATCGCCTGAGCAACATCCTTGCAGACAGCCAATTCTCTCATACCAGAAGCAAGTTTCTCAAGTCACTCCTGACACACACACGCGCGCGCACGCACACAAGAGTTCAGCTTTATGCAAATAGATGGATGGTAGTTTTAGGACAGGAAAAATGTAATATTCTTTCTTGGAGCACAGGATTAACTTTAATAGACGTCATCACAGTATAGCAATGACAACTAGGTTTGGGAGAAAGCTAGAAGAGGTTTACTATTTTGAACATAATCTAAGAAAAGGACTTAAATTCATCTGACCTCCCATATTTTCCATAAAGCTAATTATTACAGCATGACTATCTGTCAACAGAAGTATGTCTCTCTGTTTTTCTTTTTAGTGACACGATACTGCTATACCCAGCATACACTGGAAGCCAATGGAAAAAGTGTATCGGTAACCAAGCGATGTGTGCCACTGGAGGATTGTTTGGCTACAGGATGCATAGATCTCCAGCATAAAGGGCTCAGGGTAAGAAACAGGGTGGGTTTGTGTTCTTCAATGCAAACAAGCAGTCATTCTTTTTCTTTCTTTTTACACAATAGTTGAAGTTGCTACACACAACTGTGATGTTGCCATTTATTCACCATTGTTTCCTTCTTCTACTTTGCCTTGCATACTGAAACATTCTAGCTATTAATCATTAAATAAAGGAATTCTTTGAGGTGGGGAAAATATATGATAAATGTTGGCACCATGCGATAGAGATTTATTCGAGAAAGGAGTATTTGTTCTTGCTGCATGCACTCAAGTCATTTATGACTTATGGCGACTCTAAGGTTAACTATCATGGGGTTTTATGGCAAGATTTGTTCAGAGGGTGTTTACCATTGCTTGCCCAAGGTTATCCAGTGGGTTTCCATGGCTGAGCAGGGATTTGAACCTTGATAACACAGTGCCCTGGCCAACACTGAAATCGCTGTAGCCTATCTTCTCCTACGTTAACCATATACCAGATGGCCCAGTTGAAGGTCAGACGAAATCAACATTTACAAGTCAACACCTGATATTCTATTTCTTCATTATTTGTGGTGTTGCTGCTACCAATAGTTATGGGTAGCAAGCTACCATTTGGAAATAACTCATACAAAATGGATTAATTTAAAACCCAATCATAAAAACTTTCCAAGGATTTGTTGCACGGCTTCCAGTTTAGACATTATCCAGCTTGCTTCATTACTCATAGATCTTATACATATATATCAAGGTGAATTACTGCCTCCATGCACTGGGCAGGGCAGTTAGAACTGAGTGCATTGATGGTCTTTTCTGACTCATGATTTCATCATGCTACCAAACCTTGACTGTATTGCCAACCCTGCCAGCCAAAAAAAATTCCAGGGATTTCAGGAATACTTTCAATTCTACATATAAGTCTCTGCTTGTGCACCATATAAATTGGTCTCGAAATCATGTTTGAAGGCTCAAGTCAAACCTCACAAGGAAACGGCAAGAGGCTTATTGTAAACCCTTAGTTTATGGATATGCATGCCTTTGAGCCGCCTATCACCTTATGGTGACCCTATGAATTTCATAGGGTTTCTATAGTCAAGGAATACTCAGAGGAGGATTTGCCAGTTCCTTCTTCTGAAGTATAGCCTTCAACATCTGGTATTGTTTGGTGATCTCCCATCCAAGCGTCAACCAGGGCTGGTACTGCTTAGCTTCCAAGATCAAATGAGATCTGGTGCCTTTAATACTTTGCTTTAAATCTTCTTTAAATCCTGTAATGTTTTGACTATTTGGATTGGCCTTTCCATAAATCACTCTGGCTTATATATAAAAGGTTATATCGGGCATGGTGACAGTTTCCAGGGGGTTATGTCTTCCACTTGAGGCTGGAAGTGAGATTGCATCAATGAATTACCTACATTAGGAAGGGGAGAAAATTCTCAGCGTGGAGGTCCTGACTAGGACATTATAACTTGCCAATGGAAGTTTGCTCAGTTTCTAAGGTGACTTACTGTGTGTCATATGGAGCCCACCAGCCCGAGAAACATGGGCATATGGAACTACCTGCTTAAGCCTCTCCTCTCCTTTCCTAGCCTGTGATGTAGATGATGGAGGGGAGAGATAGTACAGGGGTCTTGAGTATCCACTGGAGTTTGGTTCTATGACTTCCCATGGATTTTGGTATCCGTGCTCGAGACCCATCATATAAAATGGCATTGTAAAATGGTGTCATTTATATAAACTAGCAAAATCTAGGCTTTTTAGGCTTTTGAAAAATACCTTCAAGCCATGGATAGTTAAATCTGTGGATGCCAAATCTGTGGATACTGAACGCCAACTGGAATTTTATCCATGTAATTCTTAATTCTTAACAATAAGTTTGTATGGCCTTTGTGGAGCAGTGCCCTCCAGATACCTTTGGTCACAAGCTCCCATCAGCCCCATTTGGCAGAGCCTACAGGGATGGATTACTGGAATTGCTATCCTAAAATATCTGAATGGCCACAGTTGCCTATCATTGCTGAAGAAACTGCACAGAAGCTATGAACACTGTAGCTAAGGACACAACCAGGGTGCCAGTTTGTGGATTTTTCACATGTGCTTCATGGGATAAAAAAAACCCCTTTGCTGTGTTCATGCAAACAGAGGAAAAGGTGACCTAGTGGGGAGAAATAGTGGGAGGCAGAGCTGGAGGGGAGAAAAGAGGAGAAGTCAGGGATCCTGGAGAGCAATAACCGATCTAGAGCCCTACCTCTGAGAGGAAGTAAGCTGCAATTCCAGCCCATTTGTCATGCTAAAGAAAATCTGTGGCAGAGCCTTTACATCAGTGCGGATTTTACAAGGCATTTTCCCCCTGTGGTTTAGAAACTTCAGAAAATGCCTGAATGAGATGTTGAGGACATAAATTAGGATGGAAGCATGTGAAAGGGAAACTTTCCTGCAATTCCCCTTGGAATTAAAATGATAGCTGTACAAGATGAAAGACACGCAATATGGCCAGGCATTTTTATGGTGCGCATTAATGCTTTGGGGAAGATCATTTTCATCTGTATTTAAAAGAGCTTTGCTTGTAATTTATTTTAATTGTGTTATGCTCTTTTCCAACCACTTTTTACGAATTCTAACACTGCAATACCTAGATGATGTGCACAACGAAACAAATGGGCTATTGGCTATTAGTAGTCAAGAACTAGTGTAGCATTGGGACTGGGAGGACATGAGCTCAAATCCCTGCTAATCTTGAAGCTCACTCAATGACTGAAACTGTATCAAACTTGGGTTGCTGTGAGTTTCCGGGCTGTATGGCCATGTTCCAGAAGCATTATCTACTGCCGTTTCTCCCACATTTATAGCAGGCAGCATCAGAGGTTGAGGGGTCTGTTGGAAACTAGGCAAGTGAAGTTGTATCAGGACACTAAAGAGCAACACAAAAAAAGCAGGCGTATTCCAGACAACAATCAGTCAAGGGCAGTTAACACATCCAAATGAAGGATTCCCCCAGGCAGCAATCAGCCAGGCTTTGAAGCTGCAAAGCCATTAAATGACATTCAAAGTGGCCAATTGCTAAATTCACACTTGCCTCAAACAGACAAGAGTTCTTTCTCCCACCCTGGACATTACACAGATATACAAACCTCACTTGCCTAGTTAACAACAGACCTCCTCAACCTCTGAGGATGCCTGCCATAGATGTGGGCAAAATGTCAGGAGAGAATGCTTCTGGAACATGGCCATATAGCCTGGAAAACTCACCGCAACTCAGTGATTCCAGCCATAAAAGCCTTCAACAATATATAATATTCTTTTTTGTGAGGATAAAAATGCAAAAGAGGACAATGTGCTCCTCAGAGAAAATGTGGTATATAAATATGCAGATATCCTTAATTAGTTATGGGTAATTAAGTATTGCCTTCTGCCCACCCCAACCCACCTTAATAGCCAGCATCCACATTTGGCAGTAGGTCTGTTTAGCTTTCATTCACAGTGCAAAGAGGATGTATTCCCTTCACAGCCAACAAAGATGCAAAAGGAACACAAGAAAACGTGATGCCTATGGTTGTCTTAAGTGGCTGCTGACTTTTAAAGTGGAATTAGGAGGCAGTTACATAGTCTTAGAATATGAATTCCCGAACTTTGGTCCTCCAGATGTTCTGAACTTTGACTCCCAGAATTCCAAACCATTGGACAAGCTAGCTGAGACTTCTGGGAGGAAGTCCAAAACCATAGAGTAAGATTACCAACCATAAGGACCAACCATGAAGTAAGATTGCAATGCCATATCATGTAGTTTGAAACTGCATTATAAGATAATTGTAAACCAGAGGTCCTCAAAGTTGTAAAGCTGAGGGCCGGTTCAAGGTCCCCCAGACTGTTGTGGGCTGGACTATAATTTGGGTGGGGGGGGGGGAGACTATGAATGAATTCCTATGCACACTACATACATCTTATTTGTAGTGCAAAAAGAAAAAAGAAAGAACAATAACATATTTAAAATGAAGAACAATGAAGAACAATTTTAGCCAACATAAACTTACCAGTATTTCAATGGGAAGTGTGGGTCTGCTTTTGGCTGATGAGATAGTTAAGTCAGTTAGGATTGTTGTTGTTGTTATTGTTATGTGCCTTCAAGTCATTTCAGAATTTGGAACCCTAAGTCCAAATTTTAGAGCTGAAAAAGTCAAGTTAAGTCGTTTAAGTCTTAGAGCGACACGATGTCTAAAGTTTAGAGCAGGAGTTGTGGAAAGAACCTTGGAGGGCCACATCTGGCTCGCAGGGCTTAGTTTGGGGGGCCCTGGTGTAGACTAATACACATAAAGTACAAATATACTATAGTTCAATGCAGTTAAACTGCATTATATGGGTCTACACTGACCATTTTACATCTCCCTGCTGCTTTCAGGCACTAACTTGGCTATAACTTATAATGCTGCCAAGTTCTGCACAGCTGCAATTAAAATCTGTCGGTCTATGACTGATAGTACAAACTAGTACAAGATGGGACTTCATGCTAGCAGAAAATTGGCATTATTAATTATAGTATGGATGTTGCTCTGTCCTCCATTTGACTGGACTTCCTTTTCCCGTGCCACATGAGCACCCCTGTTCCCTCCCTTTAGAATCCCTTCCCTTTAATTCCATAAATATTGTTGGGTTTTAATATAATCCTGTATGTGGCTCTTATCTTATCTTAGATTCTTAAGTTAATTATCTTAATGTTCTAACAATGATAGGTAACAGTAAAGGTTTTCCCTTGACATTAAGTCCAGTCGTGTCCAACTCTGGGGGTTGGTGCTCATCTCTAAGAGCCGCCGTTGTCCGTAGAGACTTCCAAGGTCATGTGGTTGGCATGGCTGCATGGAGTGCCGTTACCTTCTTGCCGTATTTCTCATATTTCTCGTATAGCTCATATTTCTCCCCAGATTCGAACTTGCACCTTTCAGTCAGCAAGTTCAGCAGCTCAGCGCTTTAACCCACTGTGCCACCAGGGGCCCCTTCTTAACAATGATACACTTATTTTAAAGTCTTAAATCTCTTAACCCTTAACATCTCGGAGATTGAGATCATCTGAAGAGGCCCTGCTCTCAGTCCCACCTCCTTCGCAGGTGTGGTTGGTGGGGATGAGAGACAGGGCCTTTTCAGTGGTGGCTCCTCAGCTATGGAACTCTTTCCCCAGTGATATTAGATCAGTCCGACCTTGGAATGGCCCCACCTTGATTGTGGATAATGTGATTTTAGAGCTGTAAATGGTATTGTTTATGTTTTAATTGCTTTTAACCTCATTTCAATTTTAAGTAAAAGTTATTTAATTGTTGAATTGTTTAAAGCATGGAATTTTGCCTCTGATGTAAGCTGCCTTGAGTCCCCTTCGGGGTTGAGAAGAGCGGGATATAAATATAGTAAATAAATAAATAAAAGAAATATTCATACAGGACTATATCCCTCTTCTCTCAAACTCGTCATTGACTGGAATAAAGTGAACTTGACTTGAGTTGACACTGACCATATAATGCACTTTGAGGTCAAAGCCATGTTGAGCATGGAGCAGTAGAATCATTGAATCATAGAGTTGGAAGAGACCTTGTGGGCCATCCAGTCCAACCCCATTCTGCCAAGAAGCAGGAAAAACACATTCAAAACACCCCCAACAGAACACTAGGTTACAAATCTATAACTGCAATATTGGAATAGCCATAATAAGTAAATCATATTTCACTCATAGATGCTAGTGTACATTACATATGCACACTTATGGGTGAGCATTAATCTCAGCTTTTTTTTTTTAAAGAAGGAATCCCACTTGGGTGAGGTTTATAATAGGATTCTAGCATGCTTCACTCTGAGTATTAAATTTGTTACCAGTCTCCTTCAATTTTACAGTGAAATTATTGATTTTGGTAGACTGTGTTCATGCCCCACCCCACCCTTCCCAAAGCACTTTATCAAGTGAACAGCAACTTGGCTTCAATGCTTGGTGTATCATGTATAGAGGTTGGTCCTGAGAGTGGGATGGCCTCTTTTCACCATGATTTTTTTTCATTTTGTTTTCCAGGTCTGCACTTCTTGTTGTGAAGGAAACATCTGCAACTTGCCGTTGCCCAGAAACGCAAGCGATGCCATCTTTGCGACGACAACGCCTCTCAATCACACACAGAGACATTTGCAAAGCGCATCCATAATGATGCTGTTTCTCTTGTTACTCTTTGCTACGTAGGTCTCAAGGCTAAAGTGCCAGTTACACACCAAGGATTGAGGATGGAAATATTTATGCATACAGAAATGATCTTAATTTAATATATATTTCATACCTTACATTTTTAATGGCATTTCTACATTTTTCTTTTCTTTTTAGCACTGGCTAGTTCAAAAACCATGGGTTTTGAACAGTCTCTTTTTTTTTAAAAAAAAAATGACACTGGAGGGTGGAAGGGATGTGAGTTGTAAGTTTATTACTCTGAAGGAAACCTTTTGTAGTCCTTGAAAAAAATCAGATGAAATATTTATCCTTCTCCCCTTCTCCCCAGTTTCCAACAAATGGCCTTCTTGTAAAAGAAAATTATTTGGAATTGTACACTTACAGTAATACTTAATAAAAACCAGAAATTCCCCAAAAAGTTATTCTCCCATAATGGATTCATGGACAAATATTAGTTGGTTAATTGTATTGTGTTGCAACTAATTGGGTTATAGTTAAGAGTAGAGCCATTTGAATCAATACTTCTACTTCCCAAATATTGAATCTGGATCCAACCTATGAGCTTTAATTAATGGTATATACCCTTAAATATGAATTTGCATATAACTTTGAAGAAAGATTTGGTCTTGGACAGTTAAGCAGAGCTGGTATCATCTTAGAGCATATATTTCCCACATTTATAACTGGAGATGCAATAGTTTCCTCAACCTGTTGTTTTGTTTTTTCTTTAAGTATTTGCATTTTAAAAATTAGGGTGATTTTGCCAGTTGATTTAATCAATTCAGTAGAATTCAGCTGCAGTCTTATGTGCACTTACTTCATAGTAAGAACCTCGAACTCGATGGTTCTTACTTTTGTGTAGAAATGTGTAACATTGCACAGTGATGCCACCACCCTGGGTGCACTTCCTGGGAGTAATTTTAATTGTGTTGGAATTAGCTTCAGAACAAATCTGGGTGGAAAGAGAGCTGCACATATGCAGCCCAGGTCCCTTCCAAACAGCTGAATGAAATCCCACATTATCTGCTTTGAACTGGAGTATATGACAGTGTGGACACAGATAACCCAGTTCAAAGCAGATATTGTGGGATTTTCTGCCTTGATATTCTGGGATATAGGGCTGTGTAGAAGGGCCCTTAGTTTTGCTGTGCTTACGAAAGCTTCCCCATTCAGTTTAATGTTTGGGTCAGTTTCGATGTACACCACCACATTCTTTCTGGTGCTATACTTGCCCGAAAATGAATGGAAAAGCTTCTTGTGTGTACACTGTAAACTTTGGGGTGATAATAGGATTATCAGACCACGGTGACTCTTAAGAACAGCTATTCTCCAAGAGGCACAATGAAGATTCTGGAATAATTAGAATTTCTGCTAGAAAAAATAAGTACAGGCTGAGTATCCCTTGCCCAAAATTCTGAAATACAGTTAAGTTTTCCTTAACAACAGAAACCATATCCTTGGAGCCATTCCACACATCCCTATATCCCAGAATACCAAGGCAGAAAATTCCACATTATCCGAGTGTGGACTCGGATAACCCAGTTCAAAGCAGATACTGTGGGATTTTCTGCCTTGATATTCTGGGATATAGGGCTGTGTGGAAGGGCCCATGGTTTCACATGGGTGGTTGAGAAAGTGACCGTGTTGCTTTCTGATAGTTCAGTGAACACAAAGTGTGTTTCATACACAATATTATTTAAAATCTGTGTAAAATCGGATTCAGGCTATATGTGTAAGGTGTTTATAAAACATAAATGAATTTTGTGTTCAGTTCTATCTCCAAGATATTTCATTATGTACGCTTCTGCAAATAATGGTATTTTGAAATTTGAAAAAAAATCATCCAAAACATAACTGGTTCCAAACATTTTGGAGAAGGGATATACAACCTGTATGGATACTTTTCTTATTTTCAACAAGGAATTGACTGAATTTAAATGTGTTTTAATGTTTTATTAATTCAGGTAATACTTTGGGCACACAATATGGTTTATTTTGCTTACTAAATCACAATATTTATTTTTGTATGATGCAATCAGAATTGTTGACGTGTCGTTCTGAGGCAACGATTGACAGTGCTTCTGTTAAGTATGACATGTAGTATATATTTTGTGATAAATGATCTCCAACCTTTTCAGAATTTAAGTCCTGGAAAAAGAAACGGTTGATAAATTTGAAGTAAAGTCAAATGAACACCACTAGTTTAAGGGTGCAAGGCCAAATTTTATATACAGCATACAGCCATGTAATATTATCGTGCATCATATGAGTTCTTTTTTGGCTAGCATTGATCGATAGGGCTGGCACTTTACCAAGTGACAACAGAAATTGATGCTGTAAAGTTAGGGCAGAGCAAAAAGGGGATTACAGCTAAACCTAGCCATGAAAGCCCATTAAAATCATCAACATTAATTTTAGTTGTGACCATTGTTTGTTCTTCAGTTTTATCATAATTAACATAATCAGAATAAGGAGCCATTGATGCTAAGTGAGGGAGTAGAACATTGGGTTCAGTCTGCCTCTGTCCAATTGTTACTGTTCTCTCCTCCTTCCTGTATACCTCGATTCCCTTGAGCCCTGGTTGTAGTTTTTGAGGGGAGAGCTTAGTTTTCAATGGGAAAGGCACCTTTCTTCACTTTGCCCTTTCACATTTTTGCAAACAATGCTGTTACACAGAACAACTGTGGAGCTCTTTTGTACTTTTTTAAACAAAACGAAACAACAAAACAAAAAAGACCAAAATGTTCTAATGACCAGAATTTTTCAAAGTGCATAGTTCTATGTGCATTTTAATTCATACAATCTCATTTCATATACAACATGTCTGATAGTATCATGTGCACAAAATAGTTTCAGTGTAATCTCAATATTTAGAGGAGACAAAATTATGTGGCCCTCTGATGTTGTTGGACTGCAACTCTCATCCACTCTGGCAATGATGAGGAGTGCTTGGAGTCACGGTTCATCAACACCAGGGGATCTTCATAGTCCCCACTGCTGGTTTGAAATGGTATACATGCCTGCAAATGCAACATTACTTTCAGTGTGGCATTAACACTGTAATGCTGGCATCAAACAGCAAGGTACAACATCACCCAGAGCTTGGGAAAGTTACATTTTGAATGACAGTAACTCCCAGGCAGCATGACCATTCATGTCAAGTAAAATATTATCTCTCTCCTCTCTTCCACCAACTGCACTACTGAGCCAATTCCTAATATATGACTCAGTTTACCAAAGTAACTACTGGTGCCAAAAACGAGACAGGTGTGTCAATAATTTGGATAGCATCATAATTGTGTCAATAATTTGGATAGTCTCTTACCCCTTCTCCACATAAAAATAGGGACACGTTTTTGGGTGTCTTAAGAGTTCTCAACACAGTATGTTCACATACCCATGATTCACCACATTGTTAAGGCAGCTAGAAATGGCATTTGGACACTCAAAGGGTGGGCTTGAATCAAGTGGAAAGCTTCCACACCTACAAGATCCTGGTGGTGGTTGGTCTTTCTGTCAGGAGAAGAAGCATTGGGAGGTGCATTACCAATGCTGAAGAATCCCCTATGTGCTCTGAGCACATATACATGCAGAGTGACAGTGGCCACCATAAAGTGTCCCACTCACCTTACACTCAGTTAGAAGGAAGAACAGCATAAAGGGGAATCACTAGTTGGAGCTGACAAATAAGATCCATTTTCCGCACCCTGATAGCTTAAAAGGAGGGGTGGAAGGAACAAATAGGACAGATTAGGCCCACAAACCAGAGGTGTGCCCACCCATACAAAGAACATGTGTCATCATAGGGATGCTGTTTCATGTTGTCTCGTTGTGGCAGTAATTCTCAATGTGTAGATCATCACTAAGGAAAAAAAATGTTTGTGGTGTCTGTTCCTATGTCTTGTATCCCTTGTGAACTCTCTGAAAAGGTGGTGGGTGTGTTTGTTTGCATGACCTAGCCATATGTATAACATACTTGGGAGGCCTTGGGTATCCGTGTGGTTTAACGCTTCTCTTTGTGCAATCAGAGTGACTGAATTGTCCTGTCTGTAAAATCTGTGGTTTTTGAACCTGACACAGTATCGTCCAGGAAAGTTGTATATTGCTCTGTGAGTGACAGTGGAGTTGGAACACGTTTCTGAAACTTTGAACATTTGCAATCCCAGCATGATGGTGTGCTAAATATTTCAGCATCTGCATTTCACTGTGAGTGTAGATCTTTTAGGCTGTGTGAAATTATTCCTCCTATCTTCCCATGTCATTTTCAAAAAGAATTGGGAAGAGCATGATCATCTGAAGGCGAATTTCTGCAAAATCACTGATGGTTGTCCTTCTGTTGTTTGTTTGTTTTTACCTATCCTCTGGTCAATGTGTTCCCATGTAAATAGTGCTTCCAATTGTTAATGTAAATTTTGTACATTCTATAAATAAATGATGTTTTAAAAATATGGCATACGATTTGTGACAGTCTTTTTGTGTTTCTTAACTTTGGAACAGAACGTTGTCTAGGCTAAACATGCTCTTTTTGTGTATGCAAAACAAAACTTAGAAGAAAAATGGTTTTTGGATATTCAGCTCTTAGAATCCCCCAGCCAGCATGACAGCCAAGGAGCCAAGTCTACACACAGAAGGAATAGTGCAAAATACCCATTTTATGTAGAGCAGGTTTCACTCCTGCAGTATGATGTCCTTTTCTATCCTCCTTTCTGCAGTGCTCTAAGTCTATCCTATAGCAGATTTTAAGGACACAGAGGGCAAGGTGGAACTTGTTCTTCTGATGGGTGACATTTAATCCATGGATGATAGCATTTCAGTACTACCCTATGTATTTGCTTCTGTGGTTTTTATTAGACCTGATGGGGCAGGTTCACAAGGGTACAGGACATAATCCTGGCTCTCATCCATCAAAGGCTTGAACAGTAGCATTTTATTGTGGGCTCAGAAACTCTTAAGTAACATAGTACAACTGAGAAATTGTTTTCCCACAAGCATCTTGGCAGTCAGTCCTCTACTCTAATGACATATCTTATTTCATATTTCAATAATTTATGAGGCCATGAGAGCCTCTGCTAGCACAGCAGGTTAAACCGCTGAGCTGCTGAACTTGCTGACTGAAAGGTCAGTAGTTTGAATCTGGGAAGTGGGGTGTTAGCCCCAGCTTCTGCCAACCTAGCAGTTCAAAACATGCACATGTGAATAGATCAATAGGTATTACTCTGGCAGGAAGCTAACGGTGCGTTATGCTGGCCACATGACCTTGGAGGTGTCTACGGACAACACTGGGTCTCCTGCTTAGAGATGGAGATGAGCACCACCCTCCCAGAGTCGGACATGACTAGACTTAATGTCGGGGAAAACTTTTACTTTTACCTATGAAGCCAAGAATGTTCCAGGCAGCAAAATGTTTTATTTGTAAAGGCAAACTCAATATTAAAATGAACTTTAAATGCATTCAGAAAGACTAGCTCTCATGTTCACAAGGCAAATGTAACTTCATTAATTCACTCAAAAGCCATATCCATTAAGTTCATTGGGACTTTCCTTTAGGTACATGAGTGTAAAATTGCCTGTTCAAAATACCTTGAGATCTCTGCCATCCCACAAGTGCTTCCAACCTTCAAGAACAGGTGTGTGTGTGTAGGGGGTTGCTCCATACATACAGGTGGTGGCATTAGTGAGAAGGGATGAGAAATGAATGTAAACCTCCTTAAACCTTACGATCCAGCCGAATATAATTCTTCGCTGATGCAATGTATGAAAAGATGGGCTTATTAGGTGGAACTTTCTGCCAATTTTGGATTTGTATTCCTTCTCCTTTCTGATCTCCACCTTCTTTTGTGACACAAAGCCTGTGGTTTGGCAAAAGATGAGGTAATGTGCAATCCAAAGAAATGGACTAATACTTGTAAATACTTCTAAATGCATAACATTTTAAAGTGATTGGTTGACCCTGAATGTAACAAGCAGGTATTTAATGTAATGGAACAGGTGGGTGGAAACGTAAGGGCCAGTATTAGATTTAGGCTATACGCAATAGCAAATCTGAGTTTTCATTATATAGTCTATATAGCATGATTTTAGGGCCTTTCCATAAAACCCTATAGAATATTATAGAATATTTAGGCAGGAAATCCCACAATATCTGCTTTTACCTGGGTTATCCAAGTCCACACTCAAATAATGTGGGATTTTCTGCCTTGATATTCTAGGATGTAGGGCTGTGTGGATGGGCCCTTAGTCTCACAGAACTCATTTGGATTAAAATCCAGTTAAAGTAGCCAATGGATTGTGAATCTTATTTATTTCAAAGATAACCAAGTTAACCTAACATTTTTTTAAAAAAACTTTGCCTGGGAATTGTTCCGTTTGTTCCAAATATTGCAAATGTCCACTTCAAGTGCCAGAATTTTTCCTAAAGGTATCAGCACAAGGCAGCAAGCAATTTTTTTTAGCATATTTTGTTGCTGCTTTGGACATACTTGCATATGTTTTTGTATAAATGGGAAGTTGAATTTTTTATGTTAGTACCCTTCGTAAAACCTCTCTTGAAGTTTTGCTTCTGTTGAATGAAGAAAGGTTGGTACTAATGGTTTCTCTGTCAGCATCTTCTGGAGGACCAAGGGAACCCAGAATCCAGCACAGCAATAAGAAAAGCCTGCTTGTCAGCAGACCAAAATTAACATACGTGTTACTGTGGATTACTTTTTTAGAGCATACCAAAGGCATGAAACCAGCAGGAGGAGGAAGAATTAAGGGGGAAATGTGTGGCAGGGGCGAAATGCTGATATTCATGTAAAATCTCTTGCTAATCTAGTTAATACATGATGACATAGGAAAATTAAGGAATACTAAATCTCTTATTTCAACACCTTGGATATTTCCTTTACTACTCAGCCTAAAAGCCAGAGTGAATTTAAAGTAAAAAGTAAAGGTTTCCCCTGACATTAAGTCTAGTTGAGTCCGACCCTGAGGGGTGGTGCTCATCTCCATTTCTAAGCCAAAGAGCCAGAGTTGTCCGTAGACACCTCCAAAGTCATGAGGCCAGCATGACTGCATGGAGCACTGTTACCTTCCCACAGAGTGGATTTACACACACACTACTCAACATCAAATCTACAAGTTGCCACTGTGAGTGATTATGGTTTCACATCTTTCTTCACATGTTGGGGATTTATGTGGATGGGGACATTATGTGAACCACTTGATGTTTGTTCTACTCTGGACAGAGTATTTTATGGAAAACATAGTTGGAGTGTTTGTGTTGGCATTCTACAGCACATTTTTCTCCTGTGGTGAGTAATTCCTTGTCCGCTCTGAGGTCCACATGAGATTTTTAAAAAAGAAAAACTCAAACAGTAAGTCACAAATCTTTCAGTGTTGTTAGAAATGATATGAGATATATGATTATCAGTAGTTTTCTGTTAGAGAAGATCCAATGATTCTAGTTTGTTAGGCATTTAATTTTTCACTTGTTGATGCAAGAAGGCTGCACAGTGTATCTGTTTTCCAGGCTACAGAATACAAACGCAAAACCACGAGCACAGTCACTTGGAAAATGTATGTAGGTGTCAACTGAGTGATGTGTCCCAAGAGAAATATTCTGTGTGGGAAACATATGGGTGGAATGATTAAAGATCTTGAAAATGTATGAACTAGAAATGGCACTTTTTAAAGCTGTCTGCATTGCTGTGATCCAAAGGAAATTTAGCTGAAGGTAAACTCACTGAAAAAAATAAGACTTGGTTTAAAATGCTAAAAGTAATACTTAATAGTGAAGCCTAAATACACTAAGCCACTATTGGATCCCATCTGATCTTGGAAACTAAGCAGGGTCAGGTCTGCTTAATATTTGGATAGGAGATTACCAACAAATAGCAGTGGCTCTCAACCTGTGGGTCCCCAGATCTTTTGGCCTTCAACTCCCAGAAATCCTAACAGCTGGTAAACTGGCTGGGATTTCTGGGAGTTGTAGCCCAAAACACCTGGGGGTCCACAGGTTGAGAACCTCTGTACTAAAGGCTCCCCCTCGATGGACTGTCACCTTGTCGTGGTGAGGGGGCTTACGCGTTCCGATGAACCTGTAGGCACAACAACTGGAGTCGTGCACTCCCAGGAGTGGCTGCGGGGGAGGTTCCAGACCAAGCACAGTCCGAAGACCCAAAGACCTCAACGGCGGAGCAGGCGGAGGATAACATGGCACATGTTACAACGGCTGCGAAGGCGGAAGAAGGCTGCAACAGACTGAGAAGCTACGGTCATTGTGTTAAACTACATCACCAGTGGAACCTCACTCTGTGAAGTCTGTGTGTTGATCAGTTGTGCACTGACCTCCACACATTAAAAAAACCCACGCACAGGCGTCTTCCAAAGAAAATAAAAACAAACCAACCAAAGTCCCATGGCGATCAGCGAGTGGCGACGGGGGCAGGACTGTGAAATCTGGAAGCCCCTAGTCACAGACTGGCACATGGGTGGTGGGTACGGACTCAGTCGTTCTACCTCAAGGTCCGAGGCAGTTGAGTAGTTCGGCAGCTGTATCCGCGACTGAGCAGCCCTTTTTAGGACCCACTCTGCTCACCCCACACGGGGAGGGGGCTAGAAAAGGTGCCCTAAACATAGTCTGCCTCACTTATCCCTGACTGGACTGCCGCGTCCAGTGGGGTCACCACCCTGCGGCCAAAAAAGAAAAATGAACTTCGGTACGTGGAACGTACGGACTCTGATGGACAACAGTGGCAGTGAACGCCCCGAACGCAGAACTGCCATCATTGCAAGGGAGCTGGGACGCTTCAACATCGACATAGCAGCCCTTCAGGAGACCCGGAGAGCAGGAGAGGGACAGCTGAAGGAAGAAAAAGGAGGCTACACCTTCTTCTGGAAGGGACTGCCCGAAAAAGACCAAAGAATGCACGGAGTTGGCTTCGCCATCAGAAATGATCTGATGAAACATCTGCCCGAAGCACCCACTGGCATCAACGAACGACTCTCAACCCTGCGAATCAATCTTGCCAAAAACCAACGGGCAACCATCATAAGTGCCTATGCACCAACACTAGATGCTGATGAAGACATCAAGGAGAAATTCTACTGTCAGCTGGACACCGTCCTATCGGGGATACCTAAGGAGGACAAAATCATCCTCCTGGGGGACTTTAATGCAAGAGTCGGGCGAGACTTCAACCTGTGGCCAGGGACCATAGGAAAAGACGGGGTTGGAAACAGCAACTCAAATGGCATCCTGCTTCTCACCAAATGTGCGGAGCACAACCTTGTCATCACCAACACGCTCTTCCGCCAGAAAAACAAGTTCAAGACATCATGGAAGCACCCCCGGTCAAAGCATTGGCACCTCTTAGACTATGTAATCACACGCGCCAGAGACCGCCGTGACGTGCTCCTCACAAGAGCCATGACAGGTGCTGACGACTGCTGGACTGACCACAGGCTAATTCG